GGTTAAAAAAGTTAATGGCACATCAATACCATATGTTGGCCAAACTTTAAACAATTATTAGAACACCAAATATTATAATATGACATTAAATACTGTTATGTTGGAAACACAAAATTGCCATTGGAAACCAAAGGTTATTCCTATTGTATTCTATACTATATTCATTTTTTTTTGTAACATGTAACCATGGTTTGATGTAAATGTGTAAAATTAAAAGTACTTCCAAAAATATACATTTTCCAAGGGATATAAAATGGAATGATCAGAAACTGTTTGTATTCTACATGTCATGTATAATGTCTTATGTAACTAATGCTTGCTTGTTGGGCCAACAAAAGTTATTGTCTAACGTCTGTTTTACTCCATCTCCCTGTCTCTTCGGTTTTCCATCAAAAACAACATTCCAAGAAGACGGTACACCTTTGAAACAGCGTTTTGCTCCAGACAGCGCCGGCCAACCAATACGATGAAGAAAGAGGATCTACGTTGGTGTTCCCGCGGGTAAGTTCTTCCGTTTTGACACACATGTTTCTAAACTTGCAATGAGATCATTTAGGGTTTATACAAAGATGTCTGTGTGCATGATGGGCATGAATGAATTTATATGCAGGGGATTCGTTGGTAGAAGTCACACAACCACGACTCCTAATCCTAAATGGAAAAATCTGGCTATCCAAAAGGTTTGGAAGCAATCAGAGGATAAGCGGGACAGAGCAGAAGAATGGAGAAAGTTGCATGTAGAGGCTAAGAGGAGGAAAGAGGAAGCTGAAAGTTCTTCAAGGTAAAATAGTATTCTGGATAGTGAAAAAAACAAAAAACTGAATGCATGATGTTTGTTATTTTTTTGATTAAGCAGCAGGAGTTGCATAAAATTTACACGTGCTGAACTTATGGACAAATACTATGAGTATGTCGAACGAGAGGAATCGTACGAACTGAGAACAGGAAAGGTGAGAAGCTGTCTATCATGGGAAAAGTACTTTGAAATAGCCAGAGAGGAGGGATGGCTTGTTGACATATCAGACGATGAGCCTGAACAGAATTCCACTGATGAAGCAATGGAATCAGCGGGCGATGTGTTGGACAGGCAAGGGCTTTTAGGTTACATATATACATTTGAATATTTGACTTTGCAAATTAGTAGTTTAAATAATCGTGTTTGTTAATGCAGCAAGGAGAACAACACTACTGATGCTGCTGATGTTGTACAACCTCCTGCCATGCAAGAGAAACTTGTTTGCAGATGGCAGAAAGTTGTTAAGAGCAGCAGCCAGATAAAAAATCAAGTTCTTGTAAGCTCTTGATCTGTTTGCTGTTACAGTTCGTAAGGATGCATAACATTGAATGAATAGACATAGCTAATAAAGATTTAATGTTGCAGCACTTTCCAGCAGCAGTCATCAAGGAAATCTTCATGGAACCAAGATCATATATTGATCTTCATAACACAAACTCAGGTATTACGTACCAATGTGTTTTCAAATCCAGGGAGAACATGACCGAGAAGTTTCTGTCAAGGGGCTGGTTAAAATTTGCAAAGGACAAAGAGCTGTCGAAAGGTGACGTTCTCTTATTCAGTGTAGAGCATCCTCCTGTGGAACATATATTGGTCAAAGTTGAGAGAGGGCAGCATTGAAAGGAGTTGTTGATTGGATTACATGGGAAGCATCATGGCAAAAAGGAGGGATTATTTTTGTATGGGCGGAAATGCATAACTATTTGTTTTGAAAATCTATTTGATGCCCATTTGTCTTTGTTATTAGTTTTGTTATTTGATATTATTGGGCTACGGCTCAATGTACAATCTGCTTATGATATGTTAAATGGGATGATACGAAATTAGTTCCATATCTTGCATTGATGAGATAATTGCATATCGTTTCCGGTATTATCCGGTAACAATTTATATTAATCAAGTGTTATGGATTTCTGTTATGCATAATCTGTTATTCATGTATCAGTTTTTTAGATTAATGTACAATATGCTGATATACTACCGTGTATTATGCATAAAGTATGCAAAACAATATGGATTGTCCAGCATCAAGACATAAAGAGAAACATTTTTGTCCAGAATAAGTTTATTATATTAAACAAAATAAGGAATTACCAACATCATATTGCTTTTTGTAGTGTAAATTATGCATAGTTTTTTGCAGCTTAAATGAATAAAATCATATCATTCTTTCATATACAATGTCAAAAGGATCAAACAAAAAGCAAGAATGACAAATCAAATCCTCATAAACCAGAATAAACAAAATGTAAACCAGAAATATTTCATTACATCAATCAAAATAAGGTGTGCAATGTTGTCCAAAACAGCTTAAAGTAAAAATAAATCGTCGACGATAATTGACTGCATCATTTCTCCAGCTTGATGTCCCTTATTATCTTGGTGGACGATAGTTGGGCACTGTCGAGTTCTTCAACTGTCTCAGGAATAGATCTTTTTGACGGTGTAAGTGCAGAGTTGGCAACTGAAGGGTCATAATCTGCAGTGATTGATAACAGATCCTGCCATTAAAGAGTCATTACAAAATCAGTAGCATAAAAAAGGAAGTAAGACATTGTTTAATAGGCTAATTTGTTAATGTTGAAAGCTAAAAAAAGACGCACTGAAACTGTTTGTGGATCAACATGAGACTGTTTTTTCGAGGTGCTGATGGTCGGAGTACACTGCAAGTTAAAAAACGCAAGAAATAAACGTTAGACAATTGTTCAAAATGTGATGGCAAGAGTAATAGGTCGTTCCTATTTAAAACATACCGATGTTGTATGCATATCATCCCGAGTGTCATCTGTTGAGACGACAATCTTTGAAGTGTGCTGCAAGTTTTAAACAATTGTTAAAAAAATCCAATGCACATGATACTGATTTTAACAACAGTAAAACATGAGTACAACAATACCTCTTCACATTTAAACCTCTCCTTTATTTTGGTACGTAGCACTTCATCTGCCTTAAATCCGATTACAGAAAGACTGGCCTTGTTTGGTTGAAACACTGCTCTTATAGCCAACTCCTTCTTCAGCATCACATCAAGTTCATAAGGGAATTCAAGGGGATCAAAATCTCCAGTCTAAATGATTAAAACAATATATGTTATTTATGGGGTAATGATCTAACTTACATATTAGCCAAATGGAAAATAACTCCATCAAATCCAACTTCATCTGAAGGGCGGACTTCCCAATCAACTTTACACAATCTACATCCCAAAATACGAACTTGTATTTTAACTTTCCATCGGAGGCAAGGACTTCAAGCTTAAACCTGTACCATGCGTGATCAAAATAAGAAATTGTCAGTAATGAAGCGTTTGGTTATATGATGATAATCATTGATATGCAATACTTAGAAGTTACCTTGGGACTGGCTCAGAACTGATGTGTTTGGAATAACACATGAATTTTCCATCCTTCAAAGTCACACTTTTGGTACATTCACTACATCCATCATAATACCATCCTGACTGCCCACATTCAAACTTCTCCAGAGTCGCAACAGTCACACATGTAGTTTCCTGAAACAGAAAGATGGGATGATGTCTCAAAAAATGGATTAGAACCCAGTCTGTGTAATTCCTCAATCTAAGACAGTCATGTATTAAAGAGCAACTTACAGTCTGCAGATATGCAATATCAGACAGACTCAACACTTCAGCTTTCCATACAAATTTGTCCAAATCAGAAAAAACAAAGGTATTTGTGGTTTCCATTTGCATGCTCGAGGATGAGAGCGTCGGCAGATCATCTTTAAGTCTGATGTACATAGATCAGAATGAAAACAGGCTGTTAGTAATCATAGGTTGCTAATTCATAACTTCATAATAAAATCACTTACTTCTCTTTAAGGTTTTTAACCTCCTCAATAGACAAATCATTGATGAACAGTTTTGTGCCGTTCCAAGCATTTGATACATTTAAAGGATAATTTCCTGAAAATTGAGATATTTATAAATGACAACACTTAAAGTTGGATATAATAATTGGATATAATAAGAAATAGTCACATAGCATACCTCGAGGTTCCTTGATCCTTGCATTCATAAGTAGGAGAACAATACTACCATCAGCCTTATGAGTCGTATAATACTCATTCAGTTGCACAGCTAATTTACCCCAAAGAGTACATTGCACATGATGTTTGCTGATTGACAGGAATTACAAAACAAACAACATGAACATGTTAGACTTTTATATTTATCAGCATCAATGTTAACAAACAAAATGAAACACCTACCTCAGATCAGTTAATGAAAACACAACCTTGCTTTTGTTGTTATCAGGAATTATCTGGGCTTGGGATATTTCAGTAACCCCACCAATTATATCTGCACAAAAGTTCACCACAGACAGTTATGTATAACGGAGAAGTCACAATACAATGCGTTCTATTATAACGGTAAAAATGTAACTCACCATATAACAAATTCGTTATGTATTTACCCTCAATAATAGCATTTATTCCAATTAACTTGAGGTGGTTCAGAGGTATGTCAGCAAGTTGGACCTTTTTGACGGAAGTTGAACCACAGAAAATCAATTTGAACTTATGATCAGTGAATTTGAAGGAGAAATCATTGCTGGAAACTTTGAAATTTTGCATTATGTAGGAACAACCAAGTTCAAGCTGTGTTTTGAATTTTGATACCAAATAAGATGGCACAATGGCTTGAATCAAATCCAACTGTGAAAATACAAACATCTTGAAATCAGTATCATATACCAGTACTGTTACAACAAAATCAGAATGGCAAAGCAGAAACGTTTAGATTGTATTATACCTTTGAATCAAACAGAATAAGCTCTAAGTGCTCTCTATTCTGAGAACTGGTAACAGACCACAGATGCTTACATCTAACAGCAACCTTCCACAAATCCTTCGAATCGTCAATGCTACTGATATACTCGATTGGGCGCGCCATCGTCACGCAACGATTCGTAACAGCGCAGAGAGCCTTGCGTGAATGAAAACGAAAGGGACGTCTGTAGCAATGGCTTGCGTGAATGAAAACGACTGGAAGGTGTTAAGCAATGGAGGTTATACATAAGTACACATTGGGGAAGGATTGAAGGAAGAGTGAAAAACTTTTGGGGTTCCATTTGAATTTGAATTCTGATTAAGAGAGGCATAATGGTTTGGCATGGGGAAGAGGAAGAGAGGCACAATGAATGGCAAGGAATAATGGTTTGGCATGGGGAAGAGGAAGAGAGGCATAATGGTTTGACATGGATTTATTTGAAAAAATAAAATTGAAAATGTGGTGAAAAATTGTGGGAGTGCCACATCAGATTCAAATCAATGTGGTGCAAGATATTTTGGAGTTTCCAATTTTACCCCAATACAATAGACCAACAATGGATTTTTTCAACTGTGGTGTTGTGGTAATTTCCAGGGACTATGATTTTTATAGATAGATAATAGATAGATACCTAGCAATCTATAATAAATAACAAATATAACATAAATAAATAGTGAAAATATGGAAAGATTGATTTATTTCATTGAGTTAAAATATAATCTGAATTAAAATAACAAACACAACACAAGACGCATCGCTAACCGTCTGATCTTTTTTGATACACAATGATCCTCCGTTTATAGATATTTCCCCTCGTTATTTCCCGTTCCTTTCTTTTCTTTCTCTTCACTTCCAACACAGCCGCAGCCGCAGCCGCAGAAAACAACATCAACAAGTACCATTCTGGTGAGTTTCACTCTTCACTTTCATCATTATTTCTCCGTTTTCATATATTCCGTTGAATTTTTTTTACGTAATTCGATTGTTTTCGTGAAACAGAAAGTGGCTGGGTTCGATGGAGAAAGAGTTGGTGGAATTGTATGAATCCGCCAAGAAAGCAGCGGATGCGTCTACCGATGCAGATAGCCCGCACGAAGAAAGCCGATGCCTTGATGCGCTCGAGCAGCTCAAGAAATTTCCTGTTAATTATCAAATTCTCGTTAATACCCAGGTTTTTTTTCTTCACATTTTGTTATTTTCATTTCTTTTATTTTCAATTGTTTCTTTTTTAAATCTTTTTGTTATATATATGTGGTGAATTTTTGAAGATGGGATACTGCTGAATGTTGTGTTGAGATGTATTGCATGTTATTAGGGTTAGGGTTCAATTGAAAGGAAGATTCAGATTAGGCATTTTAAAAATTAAGGACTGTGTTTGAGTGCTGATTTTCTTTGATTTAGTCTATATTATGTACATTGAGTAATCAATTTGTATGTTTGGATGAGATGTGGTGTTTACTTTTAGATTTATTGATTCATGAATTAAAAGAAAGGAGGCCTGATTATTACGAATACTTTTTTCTAGGGATTTATATCTTTGGTTTTTATGTTATAATGATGCTTTGGGATAAATTGGGTCCTTGGGTTTCTGTTGATGTTAATTTAAACTTGTATGTTGCATAGACACGGGTATTGGACTGTTAACGAGTCATGGTATAGGTTTGAGATTTTCCTAAAGATGGATACGGGTATCGTTACTAAGGTTGGGCGTAGGTATGGGATTGTATAAAAGAATAGGGTACCGAGGCAGTGATATAAATATTTGAAATCTTTTAATTCTTTGATGATGTGGATGTCGCATAGTGATTTGCTTTTTCTTTGTCGCCAGGCAGATGTTGTTGTCGTTATCTAATTTGGATTTTATGTTCTATGATGAATGTGATTTGTGGTGAATGAAATTTTGTTGTGTTTGGATTCATCAAAGTTAGGAATGGTTTCATTTGACTTAGTTTATTTGATCCAGAAGTTGGATATCATATTTGAATGTGGTTTGGTGGCTGAAGCTTTTAATTCTCTGATGATGTGGATCTCGCATAGCGATTTGCTTTTTAGAAGCTGTTGTCGTTATCTAATTTGGATTTTATGATTTATGATAAATGTGATTTGTCGTAAATGACATTCAGTTATGTTTGATCTAGAAGTCGGATATCATATTTGGATGAGACATGGTGGCTGAAAGCTCATTATGCAGGAAAAGGTCCCAAGTTTGAATATGGGGGAAGCAAAATTGTATATTTTGCTAGAATCAGCTCATACATTTTATGTATAGGATTTTATCGTCCCATTTTTAACATTCCAAACACGGTTGTCAAGGTTCCAATCTTCCTCGTAAGGTTGCCCAATACTATGGTTTTCTATGGGAGCTTTTGATCCTTATTATACCCCACTTTTGTTTGGTGAGATAGTTGCAGGATCATCGAGCTATAGCTTGTAAGTCGCTGGCATCAGATGGTTTTTGTGGTTCAGACACTGCTGTTTTAAGTGGTAAAAAACACATTTTTCCTTGGAAAAAAATCGATGCTTACACTTGAAACCGCAAACCTTGTTTGTGTCTGCTTTCCCATCGTCGTTTTTTTCCTATATGATATACTAAGTTGTGATACTGTTCTGACCTGAGTTGATGTTTATCTTCATTTGAGGAATGTAAGTGAATAGCTTTGTTGATATATTGAAATGTGAGAAAGAATTCTCTTCCATTCCCGCAGTTTCCTTGTTTGGTACATTCTAAGGACTATTTTGTATTGTGAATTTAGAGACTGTGTTAATTTCATGTTCAACTTCATTCTTAGTATACCGATTCATCTATAGTGTTCTCATAAATATCAGCAAATATTAAGGCTAAAACATTAAGTTTTGGTCACACTGCAGACCAAGAACCATTAGGCTTAAAAAATGTCACATATTCTGAAATAAACTTGGCATCTAATTAACCAAGTTTACGCTCTTTAATTGTCTTCTTCATTTTGTACTACTTATAATGTCCTTAAGTCACTTTTTCAAATTTCTGTTTAAAAGAAACTTAAAAAACTATCCTAAAATGAGTATTGATTATGAGTTAATATTATTGACGGTTAATATTAAAAGAGAAATTGTCGCAAGTATTGATTCTAAGTCTATAATTGATGATTTCAAGTTACTCAAAGACCGTAAAACATTATTTTAAGGTATTTTTAGTCGTGCTCTTTAATCATTTGATGTTCAACTTTGTGTTTATTACAACTTATGTATTTTATATACATTATGATTTGAATATTTGATCTAGAAGTCATAATTTATTTTGATTGCTATCTCAAACTTTTTAGTCGGGCTCTGCCACTGGTTTTGTGACCATGAAAGGAGGAAGGAAAAATTTGAAAAGAGCATCAGAGGAAAAACATGTAACTCTCGGAGATGGGCAATGCATCATGCAAGTCGTGTCTCTTCGAGGATCCAATCTTATTGAGGTTTTACAATTTTTATTTTTTCTATAATTTTCTTTTTTCGGTTTCTTAATCATAACTGTAATGTATTGTTCCACTTTGATCTCTTTCAAGGTTATGGATGCTAGCGGTGAGAAATCACTAGCTCTATTTCCCGCTAAATTTCAGAAAAGCATGTGGATTAAACGAGGTTTCTTTTATTTAACTACCAATTCAATGTTGATTGATGATTTTAGTTAGTTTTTTATTTTTATTTTTTACTTCATTGATGAACCAATGCAAGTGTTTTCTCAATCTTCAGGAAACTTTGTTGTAGTTGATGAGAGCGGAAAGAAAGAGGCTCTTGAATCAGGAAGCAAGGTTGGTTGTATTGTGTCTCAAGTTCTTTTCTATGATCAACTCCGTGCATTAAAGAAATCTGCAGAATGGTGTGCTCTTGTTAACAACTTTGATTTTTACGTATTTTACTTTGTATTCTTTGTTTATATTATATGGTAGCATCTAATGGTATTCACATGATATCAAATACTGTTTTTTTAAATGATGTTTTATGTATAGGCCTGAGATTTTTAAAGATGATCTTAATGAAAGAGTCGCCACCCGACAAGAGAATGAGACAGACACGAGCGATGATGATGGGTTGCCTCCATTGGAAGCCAATACAAACAGGGTGAGACCTTCTGAACCAGAAGATGAAGAATCTGATTCAGATAATGATGATCATTTTATTGGCTCTCATAGTTCAACCAAAACTCTGTAAACTATGTTCTTGTGATGTATCTATGTACTGAGTATTTGAATTTTTTATTAAAGAATCGAGTTTGCATTAACATGTCAAATTATAGAGAACATAAACAATCATTTGTTTGATTAATTCCGGAAGTTAGTTTTTTTTTTGGTTATATTTTTGCAAATTAATGATGAGTACCAGTAAGAAGAAGTTTAATTTGAACCGATAAAAAAACTGTTAGTGCTAATGAGTATTACCCAAAATCTATTTTGAAAGGATCAAAGGACATTTTATGTTGCCTAAATATTGAATACGGTTCTTTAACACTTGTACTAATATACTAAGAGACATAACAAAGTTGTTATTTATAAACATTAACAAAAATTTAAGAAATAATGTAGAATATATGCATTAAATGTTATGGAAAAAATCTAATGAAATTATTTATACACCAAAAAGAATAATTTTACAACAATAATCTTATGTATTGGCCAGTTCCAAAACTGGTAATTTGGTATGTACGTACATAAAATGAAATAATGTTGACTACTTGGATCATACACTAAATTGATCTGAGGCAATGAACTCCTTTGCCTTCATCATGGTGTCCCTTTTATCACTCTACTTGGTGTAGAATAACCCATCAGTTTATGCAGAGTACTTTTCCGTGGCTGCCTTGCCTCCTTTTCTGGTGACAATTTCCTAGGTTCAGACATGTTGGAGGAAAGTTCTGTTGATTGATCTGTCTCCGTTGTAGCTGCGATTGTACTAAAATATCTTGAACCAATAATCTTTGCCTTAAATGTTGAGCTAGGAGAGACACCCGGGTTAACATATTCACTGCTATGCAAGGTATCAAATTGTTGGGTTAGAAAAGCAGGATCTACTTCTGAGGAGAAGCTTTGAGAGACAGAAAGTCCATAATCATCATAATATGAAATGGGTTTTGCAGGTGAATGATGGTAATGGTTGACATGAGTTTTTGATGGTAGCTTGCCGCCATTAATCACCTCGCTTCCGTGGTGAAGCTCACGAGACGGAAGATCTATAGGAATCGATGAAAAAGGTACTACATGAGTTCCGTCTTTGAGTGAAAACTTGAGTACCTCTGAACATCCACCACATTTCAGCTGATGACAGGTCCTTTTATAAAGAAGAAAATCTGCAGGTAGCTGAAGCAGTTTAAAACATTTAGGACATGTGACAAAAGGAGCTCCACCTGCTACTGGCCTGCGATGTCGCTTAGCCAAGTTCTGTTTCTCCCTTAAATATTTCCTCGCCATAGTTGCCCTATACCTCTGATCATCAGAATTTGTGTCACTGCTATATAATGGGAGTTTAGAGGCTGTGAAGTATTGTGGACCTGAAGAGCTACAATCGTGTGCTCGACAGCACTTGTGTAAATCTTCATGTTGGAAATGAACACGTGGAGACAAATCTGCTGAGACATGGGAACAACAATGGTGACAAGGATGGTCAACACGGTATGCCCAACTTGTTGCTTCAGCTGAGTAAGGTATCCGTGAGTATTTATGCCTTTGACCCGACATGATTTCACAATGACATCTTCCATTACACCTAAAGTGATCAAGAGCATGAGAAAACCTTCCTTCACGAAGGTCATGGCTATGGTATTTGTATACAGAATTATGATTTTCCTTGTAAGATACACCAGTGGCCACTCTTACATTTGATTTCTCACTCACATAGCGTGTCTTGTTGAGTTCATCCTGCAACTTATAAATCATTCCCAACAATTTCGCCTTCTCCTGGTCAGTTTCCTCACGGGGGTCACGCGAAAGAAAGCTTGAACTCTCATCATGCATTCCATTTGACGGCCTGCCACTTTCATTGTGTGATTGGTAACCATTTCGATGAAAAGGTACTCTTGATGGAAACTCGTGATCTCTCTTTGTTTTCATGAAACGGGAATCACCTTGACTTGTATTGTCCAATACTTTGTTTTTATTCCTTCTGCTGTCTTTCACCATATGATTCTTTTCCTCTGGCACATTTGATTGATGTTGTGTTCCAAAATCACCATTAGCAGGACCTTTACCCTTTCTGATCCTTCCTTCAGCCTCAGCGTAAGTGTTCCTCAAAGAATCTAGATGTTGGATAGGGAACTGCTCATTGATTCCGTCATAAGCATTAGAGCTTCTGGTGGTTGGGGATTCAGAAAGTTTTTCTTTTCCATGAACATTACTAACTTCTGAACTATGACCTCTTAGTTCCGTGGTATTGAAGGTATCCACATTCTCAGTGCTTGGCATTTTTGTTGTAGTGCCTTCTGCAGTGTCCACTTCTGATTTTGCACCCTCTTTAGCTGATTTTTCATCGTCAGGTTCTTCTTTATCCAAAGCACTTACATTCAAATCCCCTTCTGCTCCTTCTTGTGTCCATATTCCATTGTTTAATTTTTCTTCTGCTATATTGTTTCCAGTAATCTCCTCCTCAAGCTTTTCACCAACTATAGCTGATTTATCATTTTTAGCATCTTCTCCATCAATTCGAAAGTTTAGCTCCTCTGGTGGCAAGTTTCGATTATTCAAGTCTACCACTCCTTCTAATTCACTTGCAATAATTTCCACTTCAGCGTTTGCATCTTCTGTAACTGGCTTTTCTATATTGACATTTGCTTCATCTGATCTTGAAATCAACTCTGCACCTGCTTCCTCTAGTGACAACTTTCCTAAATTAATTTCAGCAATTTCCATTTTAGGTATGTCCCCTTCCAGAGCTGATTTGTCATTATTTTCATCTTCATCAGATGAAGGAATAGACTCCTCTTTTGGTCTTTCTAATGAAAAATCCCCATTACTTATCTCCTCAATCTCACAATGAGTGGTTTTAACAGAACCCACTTTTTTGGACACTCTAAGCCTTCTAAGTGACAGTTTTGGGATATCCAACTCATCTTCCAGTTCTTCTTCATCTGTGAACTTGAATGGTACTAGCTGACCGCCATTGTACTCACTGTTCCCATCCAAATGACATTCTCTCGAAGAAGCAGTTTCCTTAGCCTTCAAGCTATCTTTTCGGAGAGGAAACCGGCGCTTTTTATCGCCACGCTGTTTACCGTCAGAAACATGATTTGGTGTGTTTCCAGGAGCTGCCTCGATTTCTTGTATACTAGAATCTGACTTCACAGCCGTACTTTGTTTCTTAGCTGTATGACAAGAAAAGAAAATGATATCAGTCCTCAGAACCAAGAGCTAGATATACATAATACACTCAATATCCTTATTTGAAAACTTGGATATTCATTGAAATTCACATGCAAATGTGGTTGAACAAAAGGGTAAAACCGCACTAATTTGTTTATAGAGGAGAATTGCCGACTTTGGAACTGTATGCTTTGATTCAGCCCTGAAACTACAGAGTGACAAGCTAAAACAACGCGTTGTCATACAAAATTCCGAATCAGATCACAGGTTATGAGGTGATTGATTGATATCATGTTTTGCAAGCAGAGTGGTAATGGCAAAAACTAAATCTGCTACAAAATTGTCTGCCTGAAATCCTGTGGACTGTGTAAAGCAGGGAATGCCTTGGACTATTCTAAGCAATGCACAAAGGGCCATTTCTAATTTCACTATATTGTGCTATAATAAATGTAAGGAAAGGCTGGTCTACTGTGCTGGACGTGCTCGGATGGCATATGGACAACATTGGTAATAGGTGGCCACGCTGTTGATCGGTGTATACAACCATACCGGTTCCTTGGAAACATGTAGAAAGAAGGGTCATAAAGGAAGAAAGTCAAAGGAAGAGGAACAAGTACGGAAGCTATTCCTAATGAGAACACAAAAAGGACTTCAAAACAGTATCTTGGACGGGGTTCTCGGCATTTTCCATTCGGGTTCTTCATTCCAGGAGTGACAGAGCAGTCTAATTCACTGTCAAGCTTAGTTGGGGCTTTGGCGTTTTGGAGGGGTATCGAGCAGAAGGTTGTGGCGTGGCGCGGCACCTTAGGTGATCCTGTTGTGCGTGTCTACGCAGACTAGAGGCGGGTAGGAACTGGAGGTTGGAACGTCTGGCTTATTTGGCAAATATATTCTGTTTTGAGTGACATGTATGCAAGTATGCAAGAGTTCAACAAGTGTAACAGCCATAAACATCACAACTTATTTCTAATTTATGTATAGTTTTGCAAGAGTATACAAAAATTAAATAGAAAACTCACCTTGAAGTTCAGTCCCACATCCACCACATTTGTATACATCATATCCTTGAGGCTCTTGAAGAAGTTGCCGGCATTTCGGACATTTAACTATCCGAAGTTTGGGAACCAATTTACCAGACATATTACTTCAAATATAGTCCAAATGTTGTGTCTTGGGCACAAGTACTATCTCTCACTGTCAGCGTAGAAAAAAGATGTATAAGAATTAGTATAAAACAACTCTTATTTAACTATGAAAGAAGAGAATCATCATAATATTCAAACAAGTGAAAGTTGTAACAACAAACTGCATAAAAGATATAACTAAAAAAGCACTTACACTGGTGTGTACCTTGGTTAGATCAGGTTACAAAATCTCAGGAAATAGTTGAAATTAATTGAACACCAGAAAGGGGAGAAGAAAGAATGAAGAATGTAAAGGGGTTTAGAAGTTGGAAGGGTGTTATGTTGTAGTAACGAAGAGAGGGAGAGAAAGTAGAAGAAGGAACATGCTGAGAAATAAATGCGAAAGAAGCTGTTCTTTGACGCAAAGAAAACGACTAAATTAGCAATAATTAGAATGTGAAAGATAACAATATTTCTTAGAAGGTCTTGTTGTATGAAATGTTGGAGTTGTTGCTGCGTGGAAGTGAAACAGTAACAACAAAAGAGTCTTGTATTTCGTGTTTGGTTTGTTAGTCAACTCGTTTGTTGTTGTTGTTGTTGTTGTGTGCGATTTTGTCTCTTTTAAAGACGCGTTTTACTCTCTGTTTTTTGTGTGCAATTTGGAAGAAAGTCAGCCATACGAATTATGCGTCCGATGAAGGTGTGTGTCTGACTTGGTCTATCTCGTAGGTGACGATGTTTTTTTTTTCTAGATCTGTCAAATATAAGAAGATGTCAATTTTTATTTTTTTCTTAATATTTATTTTAAATTTGGAAAATAAAAATGATATGAGGAGTATGTTTTTCAACCTCAGTATTATCCATGGTGGGATATTTGAAATAAAATATGATTTTGGATTTGATTTGTTCAATTTGAACCATGCACAACGGAATATAAAAATTAAATTACGGTCCAATAATATGAATAAACCGCTAAATTGACTCTTTATAACGCTTTTAAACCGGTTTGGTGATTTTAGTGTATCTATATTTTAAAAAAATTATGACTTCAGTAAAGTGTGAAGTTGGTTTTTGTAATTAACAATTTACTCAATTAAGTTCTTTTTAATAATTCTACCCCTGAATTTAAATATCACTTTTTGGTCAAATCACTAAAATGAAAAGAAAGTTGATAATAACCCTAAGAGAGGTGTGGTAATGCATGTGAGTCTTCGATTTATGTGTTGAGAGATTGTAAACTGGTTTGCAAAATCTGAGAGAATTTCGTTACTGCTAGCATTGTAGTTGATTTTTTCAGTTCTAATTGGCATGATTGGAGAATGTTTTGACCAGTCTTCATGAAGACACGAATTGTATGAATTACTAGACCATAGAGTGCCATTCGATTTGGTCAGGGAGGAATAAGGAGATTCATATAGCAAACTATCATAGGCTTTTAAATCTTATTTCTCATTCTGTGAATAGGTTCCAGGATTATTTGAAGGTCATGAAGGTTAATGCTCGAGTTATGGAGGGCCCGAAGGTGGTGAATCTGATTAGATGATATCCCCTGAAAGAGTTCTTTGTCAAGCTGAATGTTGATGGCTCACAAATTCACGATGGTAAAGCAGGTTGTGGTGGGATCATTCGAGATTCAAGAGGCAAAATAGATCAGAGATTTTTTCAAATTTATTGGTCACTGTAGTGTTTTAAGGGCGAAATTATGGGGCTTGTATAAAGGACTTAAGCTTATTGTCGAACATGAGTTTGAGAAGGTTGAAGTCAATTCTGACTCCAAAGCTGTTGTTGATGTTATATCCAAGGTAAAGAAGAACGCATTAGGATTTTTAAATTTGGAGATCCAAATTCTTCATTTGTTGGATAAGATTGATGTTGTTGAGATTTTCTTTACTCAGAGGGAGACTAATGGTTGTGCTAACGAGCTTGCTAGAGAGAGTAGGGTGATGAAGGGTGGTATCCAGATTTATCAGGAAGTTCCAGACTTCTTGCAGAGGCATTGAAGATTGATTTTGAAGGGGTTTTAGTCCATAGAGTTGGCGTTGTGTAATTTTCTTTTTCTTTGGGTTCCGACCCTCCTTCTTACCAAAAAAAAAAACTCAAGAGAGGTGAATGTAATTTTTCAATTTATTAATAAATTTTCTCTCTAATTTTGTTACGTATTCTATTATATATATATTTTATTTAAAATAAGTTATCTCTTTCAAGTTATTTTCTTTTATATAATTTCGTTATGTGTTCTATTATATTTTTTATATAAAATAAGTTATTTCTTTCGACTTGTTTTTAAGTTATAGTTATAATTGTTTTTTCATTAATACTTAATAATGAGTTATTTTATGTATTTTTTATTATATGATTCATCACAATTTAAAAGGTGTTATCAACACATACTTTAATTTGCGTGAGAGTTATAATCTGAATCAAATTTATTTAATTTTTTTAATGTTATGTGATAAGTTATTATTGGGTAGTCCGAGAGAGTCGGGAGCACCAACGAAACCAATGTTCCAGGACCATAAGAGAGTAAGACGCCACATCTCAACCTAAAAATTTAAGATGATAAGTAAATAGGTTTTCTCTTCACACACCAGATCCAGCTCCCGCTTCCCACCAAGTCGAACCACAACTCTGATATCACTGTTGGGGAGTTCAAGAAAGTCGGAAGCACTGACGAGAGCAATGCTCCAAGACCACAAGAGAATGAGATGCCACATCTCAACTTAAAACCTTAAGGTGATAGGTAAATGAGTCATCTCTCTTATAAATCTAATAGATCATCCATTCATAGGCAATGTGACACTTTATCACTCACACTTGCAACCAATAGTTATAACATTTGTAATCACTCAACATTAAAATTTTTATTAGTATGAATCTTTCACCATTGAATATCATATCACTTATATAATATCACAAAGATAAAAAATTAAATTATTAATAAAATCCTTTCACTCCCCTCGTGAACCAAACATATTTTTAATTAAAATTCCTCCTTTCCTCTCCCTTCCCCTATTTTGAACCAAACATATCTAGAATTAAAAAAATCTTTCACCTCTCCTCTCTTCTCTCCATTAAATTATCTCCTTCCCTCCCCCTACATTTGAACCAAACAGACCCTAAAGCTAAGCAAACTTGGTTACACAAAGTTCTCGAAAGTGTCAAAATACACTTCTTTTCCATGAAGTTAGAGGATTTGATTGATTTAAATCTCAACATGAATCAACACTGGGTCAACTTCTGGGTAGTTGGATGCCATAGTAATTGGTTTTGGAAGAATAAGGAGAATCATGATGATAATTTTTTTAGACAAGACTATATCTCTCATGAATTGAATGCTTTTAGAATATGACTTCTCATAGGCACATACATTATTTCTCCATAAAAAACTAAATCAGTTTCATCAATAGATGCAATGATGTGTATCACAATATCAACAACATCCTTTTTAACATTCAACATTTAACTTAAAGTTAAAACACTTGGAGCAGTACTAATCTCATCATCACAACTAACAAAGTATTTGTTTTGAACACTTAAAATATCACAGATTAAAGAGGGAATGCCATCACTTCAAACCACATCATTTTAACACAAAATACTATATTTCATTAAACTTCACATTACTCAACATAAAGAGGTTTAGCTCATGTGAGCAAAAGAAACACAACAATACAAATTCTTACAATTAACATTTCTAAACAAAAATGAAAAGAAAATGTAAACCTAAGTATGTCACTCTACTCCTTGCAATCCTTCAATCAATAAGAGGCAAGTTCTATCACACCAGAATTCTCAACACTTCTTCAATGGAGGAAAGAGTGAAAGGAACTCTTAACTTCTAGTTCAAACTTATTCTTCTTCTTTAAGATATTTTTCTAAGTGATTTTTTTAGTCTAAACTTATGAACTCCTCTTCATTTCGTTTAATATGTCTCTTTTATATCCCCTAACATTTATGATTTTTACATTGTCATTGAATCATGGTCCTTATAATTTTTTTTTGTTTTGGCCCAAAAAAGTCGACATATTCATTCTCCATTTCTTAGAATTGGAATCACATAATATATAACTTCAACATACAGGGTATAACATGTTCTGTGGCAAGTCTGTTGCACATACAAACAAGCAACACGCATAATTCTGAGTGCAACAACTTCTGCATAATTTTGTCCGTAGTGCTTGATCTTATCCATCCAATTTTCCAGCTAACTTGTGCTCCATTATCCATATTGTTGTAACATTTGTTCTAATACCAAATATCTTTACTCCTTACACATAGTCTGACTCTAAAGCCTATTGAAAAATGAGGTTTAACTGATTCTTTCATTTTATTGTGCCATAATTTATCATAGAACAGTCCTACACAAATGACAAGCACATAAAACTAACAAAAGATAACACTTATTATACTCTACACAAAATAAACTAAAAACATGGAAATCTACTTGAATTAACCTAATTATAAAATTTATTAACTCAAAACAAATAAAAATAAATAAAACTTTGAATCATAGTGAATTATCAATATGCATAAATTTTTTTATCTCTTTAGAGGTTGAGGTTTTCCATCCATCAAAAAGAAAATAAAATAATCAGGTTGTTTTTCTTTTGATCTCTTTAGAGGTTGAGGTTTGCCATCCATCGAAAAGAAAAATAATCAGATTATAGTCTATTCTGAAAATTTCCACTTATAAAATGTTATATTGTGATGTGTTCGAAAATGGCACTGTTGATTTTTTAGCAAAGTTCATTAGGGATGGTAGGTAGACCCAAACACGTGGGGCCCACCCGCACCTGAGTCAACAGGTAAAAACCCAAGTTGATTGGGTTCAGGTTCGGGTGTCACCCGATATTTCGGGTGCGGGTTTGGATTCACTCAAGCCCACACTCGAAATCTGAAACTCCACCCGCTTAGACATTAAATTACATAAGTACCTCTAAATATATATAAGTGTAAAATTTTAGGACCTTAATTATAATTGTAATGTTACCAAACTTGATGAAAAGTTGTAATTTA